AAATCATCTCATAAGCCTGCAAATGTAGATTTTTTTATTTTTTGCCTTACAAAACTTTCATATTTCCCCTGTGTACAAAAGTATAATTTCTTTATGTGGTTGTTCTCAATGCCTTGAACTTGATATACATGTAATATTAGGAAATGAAAATAATATATATGTGAATTTCTTGTTTCGTGTATTAGAAAACAATATGATTTGCTCATTAAAGGCGCCAATATAAATGCTATAAACCATGAAATTACCTTTGAGCCCTTCCTGAATAACCAGTTCACAAACAAATGATCCATGCAAAAAAGGCAAGGGGAGATTACAATAATAAGACTAAGTTACATTTTCATTCCAGGATTTTTTTTTTAATGTAGAAAAGTATTATTACCGCAAAACCAATGTCTGCAGCAGGTACACTCAATTTTATAGGAAACACTGAACAATACAGGTAGATTAGACAACATAAGTGCAAAACGCGGTTTTGCATATTTTCCAAATGTGATGCAGTGCTCAAAGGTACAACAAATTATCTCAATAAAAGAATCTCACTTTTGCTTTTCTCACTTCAAAGGGCTACTTTAAAGCCATGATGGCAAAAACCTTCTACCCAAATAACTTTGTTTGGGTTTTTTTTGTTTTTTTCATACTCAAAATGTAAGATCCTACTCTACTAATGACTGAAAGAAGTTGTAGATGGCAGGAATTTGACCAAGGGTGTGAATACTCTCAAACTGAAATTAGCAAAGCCCTTAGTCCAGAGTGATCCCTAACCAGCATCATCCACATCACCTGGGAAATGACTGGAAAAGTAGGCTTTTGGGCCCCCACTCCAGACATTCCGAAATCAGAACCTCTGGAGGTGACGGCACATGAGGTGTGGTCTGATAAGCCCTTTAGGGGTCCTGTGCATGTTCAAGTTTGAGAACCAGTGCCTTAGTCTGTTAAAAGAAAGAACCAGGGTTGGAGATAATGAGCTTGTCTCCTCTAAGATCCTGCACAGAATCCCAATGGTTCCTCCATACTGCTCTACAATTCTTCAATATCCCGTTCCTCTATCCAAATATTAAATCCAAGCCAATTGCTCTGCACATTCCTGTCTGAATTAATCCCGGCCACTATTTCTACTCCACCATATCTCCTCTGTCAAACAGTAGAGCATATGACTTGAGCCAAAATAATCTGAGATGAGACTCCTGAATTTTCTCCAGGTTAGATCCCAACAATACTGTGAAACAGGCCGGGGTGAGCGCATCCTGGGCAGGGAATGGTCCGCACTTCTGAGCAGGACCTACGGGGGATTTAAGGCCTTCCTGTGAGAGCCCGAGTGGAAAGCCACATGTCTCCTTTGAGCCAGATCTTGTTCTTGAATCATTCATTCATTCATTCGTTTTGTGTATTTGATTAGTGAGTCACTCACAAAGTCATGAAACAAACACTGCTCGAGCTCTTATTCTTTTTGGTTTTGCTTCATGGTGGGGACACAACGTTGTATTAGACCATCCCAACCTTAGTGGAGCTCACAGTCTATTGGGAGACACACATATGCAAGTCATTAGTTATAATACAATGAGGTAAGTACAAAATGGAAACCCACATAAGGAACATAAAGAATGAATGACTGAGGGACTATTTTTTTGGTGGGCCTGAGTCAGTTACACACATCAGAATTGAATCTTAAAGAATGAGTAGAAGCCATCAAGGTTAGAAGCGGGACCATGAGTGGGTTCAAGCCAGTTGTGGACCATGAATAACACTAATGAGAGGATGGGCTTCCTAACTGCGAGCTCTTTAAGGGAAGAAGTCACTCAGAATCCTCGTGTCCCCAACCCCAGCACCTGGCTTGGCACAGAGATGTGAGTGAAGTCCAGAAAAGACCAAACTAGACAAGTGGTAAGGAACTCATCAAAGGAAGTCAGCTCCTGAGACAGGAGGACACTTAAGGCTCCATCTGAGGGATTCAGACAAGGAGAAAGGGGAGATAATTTCCTCCAGGATCAGCAGGGGCATAGAAGGCAGAACAACAGGACTCTGTGGGGAGCCAAGTGCTGAGCATGCAAGGACCCTAAAGAATATGTCAATCACCTTTTAGGGGGGTACCAGTGAAAACAAAGGCTCTTTTAAGCCTGGATGAGGTCCTGCCAGAATTGAGCAGACCCGCTGGAGTAGAGAGAACCTACTTAAAGGCGTCTGCCCTATAACATACCTCATAATTTTCCCACCAGTCTGGGAGGGAGAAAGGACACGCAACTGTCCTACTCCTGCTCAGAGGAGGGAGAAGACAACTGACCCACAGATCACAGAACCACTGTAAGACAGAGGGAAGAGAGAAAGGAGGGAAGGGAGGACACGCAACCCAGCAAGGTGGTGTTAGCTGACACATGAAACACACAAGGGGCAGAAGGGACCATTTCTCTAGACTTCTGTTTCCAAAGAAGCCTGGACTCAGTTACAAAACATGACAGGAGAGAGAGTAAGAACAACAAACCTTTCTGGTCTGCTTATTGTACAGCAGACAGCTCCCTGGGTGACTGCCCAACGTCCCCCTTTTTAATCTTTGCAGCAACACAAAGAGGTAGGTGTGAGAGCCTCATTTTGCTGCTGAGTTAACTAACGTAGTGGCTCAAAGAGGTAGGTTACTTGCCTGAAGCCACACAGCTACTAAGCAGGGGAAGCAAGGTTGAACACTGCAGTCTGACTCCTTAGTCCAGCGTGGACCCAGTCTCAGTTAGAAGGACGAAAGGCTAGATACCTGGAGGATGAGGTGGCTGGCAGGCCAGGCCAGGAGCAGGGGATGAGCAAGAAATGGCGACTTTACCAGAGTGTGCCCATGGGGTGATGCTGGGGAGGGTGTCTTCAGGAGGCTCTAAAATTTTCTAACATTTTGGCAGAAAACCTCTGGCCAACATCACTGGCCTACAGACGCTGAATTGGAATCCTCATCATTTCCTAACCCATCCTTGAAAACCTTACAAAGTATTTTGATGAAGTGCACATTCAGCCGTACCACTGATAATCTGTCTGCATTCATCTGGTTCCTCTATGAACCCCTTCCAATACTTTAGGGTGAGGGCAGAACATTTAAACTTAATGGAATTTCCTGCCGTATTTTTGTGGTGCCAGAATTGCTCCATCATGTAAATAAATTTTGGGGAACTTTTCTTCTTCCTTTTTTGAAGGATATAGAACATAATCTTTTCGGTATATCCTAATTTTTTAAGTATTCTCAGTCCAAAAAATAATCTGGGCCATATAAATACTGCATGTGAATGTCATATGGGTTTATATGCCTAGCTATAAGAAAAATACTTGGCTCTGTTATTTTCTTAAAACTGCTGTGTTGTTATTGCCATTTTTATTGGGTTAATTAAAAGACCATAAAATCAATTCAAACATGTTTGGTAACAGATTTTCAAATTTTATAACTGTGTTCATTTGTTGGGACAAAAATAAGAAAATGACAGACATCTCTGTACTCATAGCTTTGGTGTGATCGTTTGTTCATTCATTCATTCACTCATTCATTCATCCAACCCCCTACTATGGGCCGGATGTAAAAGCACTTTGAAAAGTGCTCTGGAGTGAAAGCACTGAAACAAGGGTAACTCCTGTCCTGAAACAAGGGTAACTGGCACGGCCAGTCTGATGGGAGACAGGAAATAAAGGTCATCGTACAGGTCAGGTGGCACACTTTTCCCATAAAGGACCAGAGTGAGCACGCTCAGTCTTGAGGGCCACAGAGGCACTGCTGCCACGGCTGAACATGGCCTTTACAACATGCAAGCAGCCACGGACAATGCATACAGATGGAGCGGCATGTTCCAATGAAACTTAATTATGGGTATTATAATTTGAATTTCACATATCTTCATGTGTTATGAAATACTGTGCTTCTTTCTAAAAATGTTTAAGCCATCCTCAGCTCACAGGTCATATAAAAGCAGGGGTTTATAGACCCTGTTTATACTGTTACATGAGGAAAGACACCATGGTATGGCTGAACCAGTATCCAGAGAGAAGGTGCTGGATGCCCTGCTGGTGAGGCTCGCTGGTTGAGCATTGGCCTATGAACCGGGAGGTCACAATTCGAATCCTGGTCTGGGCACATGCCTGGGTTGCAGGCTCATTCCCCAGTGTGGGGGCGTGGGGCAATGGGGCGTGCAGGAGGCAGCTGATCCATGATTCTCTCTCATCATAGATATTGATAGCTCTCTCTCCCTGTCCCTTTCTCTCGAACTCAATAAAAATATATTTATTAAAAAAAAAAAAAGGAGGATGTTGGAATTCTTGGCTGATGAGTCCAGGGGGGGGCCACCAGGACAATGTCAATCCAAAAGACACGGCTAAAGAATAGAAAAGAGAATTCCCTGCTTCAGCTGCTGGCCATCGACCTCTCTGCTCATTTCGGAGGTGGCTTCCTGCCGAGTTTCAAGCAGTGGTCTTTGGTGACGCTCCATGCTCCCCGGTGGCCTTGGCAATTGGTTCCAAACTTGATAAAGTGCTAATTTTGCTTTTTACAGTTGTTGTTTAACATTGAAAAGAAGCCAAGCCAACCCTCTTTGAAAATCTTAAGAAACGTTAACCCACAGATTGAAACCTGGGAATCCAAGTTATAACCAGAAGGCAATTTTCATGGTCAATGTCTGAAGCTATCCAAACAGCGGTCTCCGACGGAAATAATGAGAAGCCTCTGTGTTGTTCCTACATTCCTGGTCCGGCCTCGCTTGCTGAATGTCAGCCCCCAGCCAGCTCCGTTATAATGGCAGGCTCATAATGGAGTGCATGCGAGTGGCCTTCGGTGGGCAAATGTTCAAGCACATTAAGGTTTTAATATAATTATAATTATAGAACATGTTCAACCAATTAACCACAAATATGCTGTTTATCTGAAAAGCTGCCAACACTGTGAACTGCAGTCAAAATAACATTAGGCTGTGGTCCTTAAGCAAAGAATACACACTGAATCAAAAGCGAGATCAGAAGGAAAAGGCCAAAGTAAATATTTTCTCTGATATTTTATGAATATTTCCTCAAATGCCAGGTTAAATTATGTAATCTCAACTTCCCATATATTTACTTGATGGAATCAGATTGAGCTCATAACACTGTTGAAAAACATCATAAACCAGAGAGAGAGAGGTACTTGGTAAGTCTTAGCAGTCAAACTCCCCTAATGCAAACCTTAGTATAATATAAATAAGAAATGGCAATTAGAACAAGTCATATTTTTAAGGCATTCAAAAACTTCTCATTATTCCTTATATCTTTCTGAGTTGCAGCCTATAGGAGTTGAAGCAAAATTAAACTTTGCCTTAGCAACTAAATACTATAAGCCTTCTCATAACTTTCCCCTAAGAAAGAATTAAAAAAAAAATCCTAGTTGTACAATTTGTATATACACAATTTGCACTGCTGTAAAAGCATATTTTGAAAAGTGCTCCCTAAATAATTAAGCTATTCCTTTTACCATACTTCCTATATTACAGAAGTCATTTTCCCACCAAGAATCAATAAGTCATTCCTCACGTCACTCATTTTTCTCCATTTAACAGAATGGACTAAAGTCCAGCACTGCAAGTTACATTACCTTTGAATTATGTGTGTAATTTAAAATTCAAAGTACTACACTAAGGAGCTTTTTAGACTGACCACTCTCCACTCTCTTCATAAATACGGCCCCTCGCAGACCCTTCTGACAGATTTACCGAACAACAGGAGTTTGAAACAGTTACGGCTGTGAGCCCTGCAGGAAGGCCGCTCTCTGTAACAATGCCCCACAACCAGGCTCTTCTCAGAGGAAGCACAAAGCAAGGGGCCATACATCACTCACCAGGAAACGGCGCGAGGTTTATAGATTCATGGTAACGCTGTTCTAAAGCATCTTAACTTTAATTACAAATAAACACGAGGGCAGATATTGACGTCAGTTCTGAGTGCTCCCTAAGTAAAAGCTGCCAGTATGATGTTTGATTGACCAAACCCAAGGCCTCTGATAAAATTTCAGACGTACAACCCAAAGCCGGTGTGTCCTAAAGAGACTCTTTTCATCTGTCAAACACATCACGGGGAGAGGGGAAAAAAGAACATCGGGAGATATATAAATGGAAATGTGTTTCAGCATGCGTGTGCAACAATCACATTTTAAAGAATTACTGTAATAAAAGTGACTTTATATACCTGGAACAGAATTCATGGGTTGATATGCTTCTGATTATGAGTGAAATACAACTACCCCATTCTGCAGGAAAATAAAAATAAAGTGACTATTAGAAATGTCAATGGATATTCTTAAATTTCTGATGTACTGACTATGCTGTAGGTTGACAAAACTTTAAAACAACACCTGTCAAGGAAATAGCATTTCTTTCAATTGCCCATATTATTTGAATCAGCGTCTCCTCAAAAAGAAACAGACCCTAGTAGGTAGAATAAAAGTAAATGAGACGTGGTAACACTATTTTCAAATATTGGGTATTTAGGAAGTAGAACAGTAGGTTTGATTTCAGAACTGGGGTGCAGGTATAAACTTGGATCTCTTATGCTGCCTTTTGTCCCTGAGGTGACTCGTTTACCTTCCCAGGAATTTGGGGGTTTTCCTGTCATATGTCACCTGTCAGACTAGGACAATGGAATCTGTTCTTGAGGAAAACACCACCCCGGATCCCCAAGGTGAATGGTTTCTCAGGACCATTTCGTTCGTTCCCACTGCCCTGTAGCCTAGTCAGCTTTTGTTTTTTTCCCCCCTTTTTCTCCTTAGTAAGTAATTCCGGTAACTGTACACTTTCCCTGATGTGGAACAATCTTAGGCCACTGGAGCCTCACTAAATCACTCTAGGACGTGCCTTCTTTGGGTCATCAAAAATCAACTCTCCTTGCCTAGGTTTTATTCTTGCCAACTTGGCATTCCCAAGACAAATCACTTAAAAACGCCATAAAAATCATTAGCTCCCAGTTCTTCAACATGAACATCAGCATTGCCTGAAGCGGGGAAAGAAACAGACTGCCAAAGTCACCCTGCCAGCACCAGGTAGAGCATCCGCTTCCAGCGCCGGTACCCAGCTCGCCTTCAGCCGGGGCTGCCGACATCCACTCAGCCCCGCACCCTGACCCTCCCACCAGCTGCCGAGGCGCCTGGTGCTAACTGAGATTTTGTGAGGAAAGCAAAACCTTCCTGCTGGGTGTTAGTTTTGCATGGCAACACTCAACAATCTCAAATTGTGAGACCCGGAGGATAATTTTTTTCCTTCCTAGCCCCAAATGACTTTTTGTTTCCTTCCCAAACTTGTAAGGATTTCTTCCCACTTGAAAAATGCAGCAACCCCTACCCGACTGAGGGGTTCCTGCTGGTAAATCACTAAATCTGAGCAACTGGGAAAATGATAGTTGCCTGTAAGTTATGGTCCAATGTGGTAACTTCAAATAAAAGGAAATTTCATCAGAAGCAACTGATGCTCTGAGAACTTTCTCCAGAAGGACCGCATCCAGGGAAGTAGCCCTAGTGATTAAGGGGAGATGCTGCAAAGAACTGGGCTCCTCCAGGAAAATAAGAGTCGATATAACTGTCCTGGCAATAATATCATGATGCGGTAGTGTGCATTGTCAATAAAGGATGGGAAAGAAACATATTCCCCTCCTTTGGAAAAATAAAAAAAACACTGCACTGTAAACAGGCTTGTTCTTTCCAAGTGCATTTTATTAAAATGACAACCACAGCAACACCACCTCAACAAAAATCAGCCAACCTACAGCAAACTGCTATGACTACAGGTAATGTTACTTCTATTGCCATGAGGTGTGGGCACTCATTGGGACCTCTCAGACATTCCCCTGAGTCATTTGTCCTATAACTCAGTGATGAATTTCATATATGTATGTGCTGCTAAAAAAAAAAAAAAAGTAAACTCATAAATAATTCAACCCAGGGTCTCCAGCCAACTGACCATATATTGTTCATGTTTCACCTGCCATATTAAGTATAATTTCAAAAGTATTTCAATTTCTTTTCATTTAAAAGCCCAGGCTGTTATTAGAGGTGACGTACACAGTGTCTTGAATACAGTAGGCATTTGAGAAATGATTGCTTAAAATGCACAGCTAAAAAAAATAATCACTAGGAATGTCTAAATTATGGGGTGGGCGGAGGAGCTCGTTAACTCTGAGAGCAATGCTGTGATGTCTCTCTAACACTGCTCATTATAAAAATCTCTATTGGGTGACATAAGGAAAAGGAGAGAAATAGCATCAGCTCAAACTTGGGAAAATGAGGCTGCACCAGTGTCTTTCCAGTCTTTAAAACTATTACGTCACTGTAACACTTGTTTTCATGCCTTTGTGGATAATTATTATGTAATCAGCATTAAAATAAAAAATAGGAAAAATAAGGTTAGAAACCTAGTCCAGTGAATTTATCAAATACAGTCTAATCTTTAGGCGCAAAGATCTGACTTGGTAAGTCAGCATCAGAGGAGAGGGCCTCCTTGAGCCGGTCTCTGCCTTATCATCACCTGTAGTGTAACTGATCCAGCCCTTGCTAAGCCACAGGAAAATGGAGCACTCTTATAGCCCTTACCCTGCTTTAGCCACAAAACCGAGAAAGAGAACAACAGTCATGTGACATCTAAGAGGTACACATACTGTTGTTTTGTTAGATGGTGATAACCCAGTTCCTTTTGAAATAAATCTCTCTCTAGACCAGTGATTTTCAACCGGTGTGTTGTGATGTGCTATAGGAATTTTTTAAAACATGTAATACTTGAAAATAGCTGCTCTAGCCAGTGGTTGGCAAACTGCGGCTCACGAGCCACATGCGGCACTTTGGCCCCTTGAGTGTGGCTCTTCCACAAAATACCGACTTCTGCGCATGGGCCACGAAGTTTCAATCGCACTGTACACGCGTGCCCGCACGTGGTATTTTGTGGAAGAGCCACACTCAAGGGGCTAAAGAGCCGCATGTGGCTCGCGAGCCGCAGTTTGCGGACTTCTGGTCTAGACTATTGGTGGGTCAAAGTTATGGATATTGTTTCTGCTCTAGAAGATACAATTTTCTATTGGCTAATACTCAAAGGATTCAAAACTAGGTGATACCTAGTTAAAACCATGCTCTAAACACTTTAGCTAATTGTCATCACAACAGATATTAAGATTTAAGGAGAGTCATATATTGCTTGGGCCAATGATATTCAACCTTTTCTATCTCATGGCACACATAAACTAATTCCTAAATTCTGCAGCACACCAAAAAATATATGTTTTACTGATCTGACCAAAAAAATAGGTATAATTTTGATTCAGTCACACCGGATGGCTATTGTTGTGTTGGCTGTCGTCATATTTTTATTTGACAACCTAAGGGAAAAGAGGTCAGTGCCCCTGACTAAACAGTCAGGTATTGCATGTTTTAAAAATTCTTGTGGCCGAAACCGGTTTGGCTCAGTGGATAGAGCGTCGGCCTGCGGACTAAAAGGTCCCAGGTTCGATTCCGGTCAAGGGCATGTACCTTGGTTGCGGGCACATCCCCAGTGGGGAGTGTGCAGGAGGCAGCTGGTCGATGATTCTCTCTCATCGATGTTTCTGACTCTCTATCTCTCTCCTTTCCTCTCTGTAAAAACTCAATAAAATATATTTAAAAAAAAAAATTCTTGTGACACACAGGTTGAAAAATCACTGGCTTACGCAATTAGAAATGAGTATGTTTAAGTTAAAAAAGAAAAAGAAAAACAGAAAAGTTAAGCCATATGAAGAATCAAGCATCATTCTCCAAAAGAGAGAAATTTATTTTATTTTCCTTATGGAGTCCATTACCAGTTCCTATATGTTTTCAAAATTTCAATGTTTCTTTGAATG